GCCCCACCCCTACCCCGGGGGGTCATGATTTGAACAAACTTGAATCTACACTACCTGAGGATGCTTCCATATAAATATGACCAATCATGGCTTTGCTGTTCTCAAGATTTTTCCTATGTAAAACTTTGATCGCCCATTGTGGCCCCACCCTATCTCCAGGGGTCATGATTTGAACAAATTTGAATCTATACTACCTGAGGACGCTTCCATGCAAGTTTCATATTTTCAAGCACAGTGGTTCTTGAGATTTTTAAATGATGTCATTAATTTTTCACAAATTCATAATTATCTCCCCTTGGAAGAAGGTGTGGCCCTTCATTTGAACAAACTTAACCCCTTTTACCCAAGGATACTTTGTGGCAAGATTGGTTGAAATAAGCCAAGTGGTTCTTGATAAGCTGAAAATGTGAAAAGTTTACGATGACGACGACAGACAATGGACAAATTTCGATCAGAAAAGCTCACTTGAGCCTTCAGCTCGGGTGAGCTATAAAGACAAGAATATAAAAGTGTGCCACCAGGTGGATTCCAACTTCGACTCATAAAAATATCTTCGGTGTATATACCCAGCTGTTTTACCGATCTAGCTATTCTGGATTTGAATATTGTGTGCATAAATGCGAACTAGGTTTTTGAAAACAGGTTTCCTCATTTTTTTATATGCTTTTTGTGAATTTCGATCCTAGGGCAGGGATGCCCAAAAATATTCCTTTCTGAAAATTATTCCTTTCATGTCATCACAAGCTATCAAAATATCATAATTTTATTTACGGACAGGCCTGCCCTGAAAGACTTTTAGGCCAAAATCCATGCAATAATCTGGACATCTATTCACAAAAAATCTTACGATAAATCGTAGACGTAAGATTGTCGTAAGATTTTTTTGGAGACTTTGAGCTATTCACAAAAATACTTACGATAATCTTACGATAAAAAATTATCGTAACTTTACGAGTGCCCTGAGGCTGTCGTAAGTCTAAGATTACTATGGTAACAGTCTTAGAGGTAAAAATGGCCGCCGCATTAATTGTATTAATGAAAGAAAAAAATCAAAACAGAACTAGAAAATTACCTACACCGAGGATATTTCGAGACAGAACAAATCCGCTCGAATCAATGACGGACAGTGACATACTAGCACGGTACCGTTTTCAAAGAGGGGATATTTTACATTTAACGGACCTTGTGAAAGATGATATAAGAAATCCAACTTCCCGAAGTTATGCGGTACCTGAAATAACACAGGTATACATTCAATATACCAGTACAGACTACTTTCATTTTAATATTTTGTTAAAGTATGAATTCCATGCCCGATTGAAATCCATTGTAAAATTAATTCTAAAAAAGGGGACTCGTTGTGTGTACTCGTATTGTGTTCTTTTCTTCTTTTTTTTTTACCTTACTGTTTTATTAAATGATAATATTCCCCTATTTTCTAATGATACATGCAGTTTTTATGGATAACATCCCATTTATTTTATATACTTCTTGCCGATGTTCAAAATTTCTGTTATCAAAAATAGAAAGCCTTTATCGTAAAAATCTCCCGATAATTTTTTAAACACCAAATATTTCACTGTCTACTTTGTATTATTAAAAATGAAGAGGAATTCAGTTCAGGAAAAGTGTCTGTAGACCCAGTAAAGTAGCATTCACATACCAAAAGGAAGCTTAAATAGCTTGTTCACAGTGGGAATAATCTAATACCCCCCCCCCCCCCCCCGGTCCGGTTTATTAATTCAGAGAAGTAATAATGTATGGTAATGGTATCAGAATATTTTTGTCTGAATATTTACAAAAGAAAGATATATCCTTGGAAATTGCTATTTATCAATGGTTAAAGTTTATATTCTAAAATCTTTTTTCCACATCGTCACAAGCCAAGGTTCGGGGGAGGGCGTGGGGTGGAGATCCATTAATTAAATTTGAACAATAGGTTAAGCAATTTTATTTTTTTAAATTAACAAAATTACAATGTTAGATGCATTTTATGGCATTTATTTCAGCACACGTACCCCCAATCGCTTCAACCCCCCCCCCCCCCCCCTCAATACACATACAGTATAGTCAAATCAAATATTTTGTCTCTTAGTTGATTAACCTTGCCCATAACTTTTAATTGGTTGGAGCTATGGCTTTCGTATTTTACATGTATATTCCACAGGCGTCGGAACCGCGGGGGGGGGGGGGGGGGGGGGGGGGGGCTTCCCCCCTTTTTGCAAAGATAGACTTATTACACTACATTATTTGCTACACCAATTGTTTGTATTCTAGTTGTGTTCTACCGTATTATTATACTTATTAATGTGCTCTGTGTGGGCCTTTACCAATTACTGTAATTGTGTTTGTGCCAATTAAATATTTGTATTTGTATTTGTATTTGTATAGGCATTGAAAATTGTGGCTTACCTTTTTTGTTGATTTAACCCCCCCCCCACACTTTCAATTAGCCACCCCACTTTCAATTTGCTTCCAACGCCTATGCAATCCTCAAGACAAGACCTTCCTTTGGGTACGAATACATTTCACCTTTTAAAAAACCGTTAACCTTGGCCATGACTTTTGAATGGCTGGTGTTTCACAGACACATCTTGTCTTATTTAATTGTGTAGATGCTGGTGTGTTTGCGATACTTGGCAAAAGGAGACTTTCAGTCAGAGTGCGGGGACATACACGGGATTTCCCAGCCCACGGTATCCAGAATTATACACAGAGTTGTTTCAGCCCTTGACCTGCGATTGCAAAATATTCAATTTCCAACATCAGAACATGAAATCGTAAAAACCAAAACACAGTTTTACAGACTTGCAAGCTTTCCTGGGGTGATAGGCGCTATCGATGGGACATTGATTCCTATCCTGGCTCCAAAGGAAGACGAATATGTGTACATATGTCGTAAAGGATATCACGCCTTAAACGTTCAAGGCGTGGTTGACTCAGCTTTAAGGTTAGAGACTGATTATTCATATACTGTTCATACGTGTACATTTACTTCTCAAGTATAAACAATAGTGTATATCTTATGATATATGAATATTACAGATTCACGAACATGGTGTGTAAGTGGCCAGGATCCGTTCATGATAGTTTCATCTTTAACAATAGCAGGCTGCGTGAGGTTTTGGAGAGGCTAGGCAACTGCTGGTTGGTTGGTGATTCCGGATACCCCTTAAAGTCGTACTTAATGACCCCAAAGCTGATTCCACAAACAGAGGCAGAGGAGCGCTATAATAAGGCCCACGGACAGACAAGGGTCGTTGTAGAAAGGGCCTTTGGCGTCCTCAAATCGCGTTTCAGGTACATGTATAGCATCAACCATTGGTTTTAATCTTGTAAAAATTGCATTTAATTTCACCTGGGTTATTGTTTTCTAGCAATTTACACAAAATTAATAGCCTGAGAAACTCAAAAACTTTCAAACCGTTCCTACAATAATTAAATTCATACCGCCGAAATATGGCTGAAATATTGCCGACTAGGCGTAAAACAACAATAATCGATCAATCAATCAATCACAAAATTAATATTGAATGAGGCTCAATATGGTCATTTTTTTCAGGTGCTTGCACAAAACTGGAGGGTGTTTGCCATTCAGTCCTGAAAAGTGTATTAAGGTGGTAAGTGTTGCAATGAAATTGCACAACATGTGCATCGAGAGGAAAGTTCCTTTGGTTACTCCTGGGGATGATATAGTTGACATAAATTCTGAGGAGGACACTGTCTGCCTGGGACAAGATCGTGATGGTACACTGCAACGTGAAAGACTTGTTCATCTTTTTGTTTAGTGGTAGCTCAATAGTAGGTTATCCTCATATATACACAGGTATCATTATACCTTTAAAAATTCTACGGATTCAATTATTATGTAACTGTCTGGTTGAAAAGACATATGCTGGCTTAGTGCATCCTTACCACCACGAAAAATGAATAAGTTTCTTATGTGGCAGAGTTCTGGAAAAATGACAAGATAAACTCTTACTCTTAATTTTGAATTAATTTATCTGTGTACAAGTAATTTATAACAAGAAGAAAAAAAAGCTACATTTGTTTGTTTACTCACACATTAACAGGGTTATTTTAAAATAAAAATTTAATTAACAGATTTGAAAAGTGTTAAGAACAAATGACAAATTTCTATTTTATGTAAAAATTGAAAATTTCATTTAAATCAAGGATCAAAAATTGTATACAAATTTTAAAAAAATGCTGTGTTTAATGTATGTTGCACATACATGTAAAACTTTATGTTTAGACTGGATTCTTGTATATCCATTTTAAAAATACCGGTATGTAATACATGTGACTGTTCTATAATATATGATATAAACCAATGAAATTGGAACTTTTTTTGTAAAATAAATATTTCTTTGCAGCATCATCATAATTTCCTTATATATTAAAATGAACTAACAGAGAAAAAATGGAGATTCTAAAAATTGATTGAAAATGACTATTTGAAGGAAATTTGTTATAAATAAATATATTTCATTGCACAGAGTAGGATGAAATTTCAAAGGAAGATAAACAAGAGCCCCAACACTAGCATGAATCAACACGGTCTTGCTTTTTTCATCAGAACATATAAAGCAAAGTATTTTCCCATTCATTCACATAAAAATCAAAAATTGTAACATTTAATTTATACTGTGGCCCCAACATTAGCTCTAGGGATCAAAATGTAACCAAACTTTTTACATGGGAATGCATTAGTAAAATCATAACTAATATGACCCTGCCATTTACAGAAGTAAACATGCTTTAGCAGAAAAAAATTGCTTAAGGAGGCTGGGGGGTCAACAAATTAACCATCAGATATAACTTAATTTTTTAGGTATGATATCTTAACCTGTCAACTTTCATTTTGTAAAGAAAAATTTCATAAATTTTAGTTTTAAAATTTGATCATTTTTGTATATCTTTATATGGAGCTCTTCTTCTAAAGGAGATCAATATAGTCTGAAAATGGCCACAACCCTCCCCCCCCCCCCCCTCGCCTTCTTAACTTGGGAATGATTACTATATATATGAAATCTCTTTATTACACAGTCTACCCAAAAGCTGTAAAAATGGATACTTAACAAGAGAGAAGTTGAGATATATTTACCGGGTATGCCTTATGTGTAGCATGTAAAAAATTTTTGTGTTGGAGCACGGAATTAAGGTCAGTCAGGTAACATTAAACAAACTATCATTAATGTGATAGGTAAACAGATGACACACAAAAGACAAAAAGATGAATGCTAAACACTTTGATAAGAAGAGTTGATCCTCATGGCCCATTGGCCACAAAGCTCACCTTAGTCAATACGGCCTAGCTGTTCATTGTTAGCAGATTTTTTTCTATTATATATTCCCATGTAAAACATTAATCCTGAATGTGACCCCACCCTACCCTGGGGTTCATTATTTGAACAAATTTGAGTTTACACTACCTGATCATTTGAACAAACTTGAATCTACACTACCTGAGGATGCTTCCATATAAATATGACTCATCATGGCTTTGCTGTTCATGAGAAGAGGATTTTTAAAGGTTTTTCCTTTATATTTCTATGTAAAACTTTGATCCTCCATTGTAGCCCCATCCTACCCCCGGGGATCATGATTTGAACAAACTTGAATCTCCATTACCCTAGATTGCTTCCACATGAGTTTCATCTTTCCTGGCCCTGTGGTTCTTGAGAAGAAGATTTTTAAAAGATGCTATTAATTTTTCACTAATTCTTTATTATCTCCCCTTGAAAGAGGGCGTGGCCCTTCATTTGAACAAACTTGAATCCCCTTTACCCAAGGATACTTTTTAGCAAGTTTGGTTGAAATTGGCCCAGTGGTTCTTGAGAAGAAGTCGAAAATGTTAAAAGTTTACAGACAGACAGACAGCTAGACAGACAGACAGACTGACAGACGGACGCCGGACAAAAAGTGATCAGAATAGCTCACTTGAGCCTTTGGCTCAGGTGAGCTAAAAATGTTTCATATAAGTTTCAACTTTTCTGGCCAAGTGGTTCTTAAGAAGAAGATTTTTAAAAGATACCATTTAAATAAACTTGAATCCCTTTCACTCAAGAATGCTTTGTGATTTGAAATTGGCCAAGTGGTTCTGGAGAAGAAGTCAACATATGAAAAGTTTACAGACAGATGGACAATAAACAAAATGTGATCAGAAAAGCTTACTAGAACTTTCAGCTCGGGTGAGCTAAAAACTAGCCACACATGTAATAAATACATTACAACTCAAAATATGTTGGGCCTCTGGCCTGCTCTTCAAGGTGTTTATCTAGTTTTTTTTTCTTTAGAGTCACCAACTCCTCCAAAGACGCCAGTATTCTCCTCTTGATGGCAACATCTTCCCTCATTATCTCCAACATTTCCTTCTGAATGATGAGAAGTTCAGATGTATCTTCTCCTAAAAATTAAGAATAATTAGTAAATACACTTAGGCAAAAATGTTTAAATTAAAATAATATATGGACTTCTAATAATAGTAAAACAAGCTAAGATGAAAGCAGTTTTAATCAAAACACAAATTGAATTTAACTCTCTTTGAACAGGAAGGTAATTAAAATCTAATAAAATATATAGATGATATTCAATGTTTTGTAGATGAATATGGAATTTATTTCACAAGTGCAACAGGATTTTTGGATATTTTCACGAGTGCGAATATCATTTTGGTATCCTTTCACACTGTGAGAGAATATCACTTTTATTCAATAAATAAATCACAGTATTTCACTGTTGAAAATGTAATAAAATGTTTTTTCCTCTAACATGTCCTTAATTATGAAATAACTCAAATAACTCAAAAGACAATAAAAAAAATCATATAAGATTTATGAATGTATTTGGAGTTGGAGGCCAAAATTGTCAGTGTTTGCAAGATAACTGTCATGAACATATAAAATCAACACACCTGTGTGCTTCTGCTTTCTACTGCTTTGTTTCTCATCTGAAATCAAATGATATTTATTAGGTAATTACAGTTTTTCCTTTTTTCTACTCATGAAATAAGTAAAGAAGTATGTATAATTAAAATTCATTCTGTATGAATTTTATAAAGAGAAAGAGAGAGAGAGAAAGGAAAAGCAAATCAATAAAAATATACATATAACACTTTTTACTACTTACATTTACTTCTTTTAGAGCCATCCTGATCCTCCAAAGTTTTACATGTATTAATGACCACTGTAAAAATACACTTTTATTACTGCAGATATATGCATACACATGTATATGTTCTTTTTTTGAAATTTATAATGTTTCAATTCTCTACATTTTGTGAAAAAAAAAACTGTTTTCAAATTGTCATTTCATGGTTAAATACCAATAAAAATTAATGTTTTTTAACCCACAACCACCTCTTGCATTGACCTAATGAAGGTAACCTAATAAATCAAAGCTTTAATTTTTCAGTCAACATGGTCAATGGCTAAAGTCTTGTGAATTTTGATGTATTTGAAAAACACTGGGATGTCATATACATTATTGTTTACACCATATCATTGTTTCCACTACAGAAATGTGCCTAAATTTTTTAAAAATAGTTCCTTCTAGACATCATATGTAAAACCATATGTAGCAGGATAAACAAAATACATGATAACTCTCTTGAAATAGAAGCAGTATTTGGGCTCGGGTCAAAAACGTTATAGAGGGCTTCGCAAGCCTATCCCTCTATCAGGTTTTCTTACCCTTGCCCAAATATTGCTTATATTTCAACAGTGTAACCATATATTTCATATATTAAAGATTTTTGATATAGCTGTATCTTCTCATAAAACGAGGGATTATTATAGTACAAATACCTGGCTCAAACTCTGTGGTTCCCTCAGCTGAAGTTGAAGTGCTACAGGTAGCTATAAAAATATCAAATATAGCAATGAATTCATTATCCCAAATTTAAAAACATGTACAATTTAAGGAAAGTTTTTTCCATGAACTACAATGCAGTGTATTTCTTATTTATAATTAAATCTCTTTTATCTATAAATTCACTCAAAATTTTACAGATATATAAAACATAAACTTGCAATCCTATAATAAAAACTGTCTGATCTTCCAAATTAGTTTGGACAGCTATAAACTTGTACCTTCAGTGTCTGTGGCCAATACCCCGGGTAGCACTGCCTGTGCACTAGTACTGCAGATGTTGCTGAGACATGCACTCTCACTACATGCTTTATGCACTGAAAATTATCATGCAATTCAAATCTCCATTTTACTCACATAGCATGGGAAATAATATGCATATGCCTTAACAGTTATACAATTCTGGAAAACAGAAAGTAAGTTTGTATGTTGATTTACTTGAAAATAAACTCTTCATGGTCATGCTGTTGATAATGTGCTAATAACTACTAATAATATTTCATTAGTTCAACCTGCTGTACAATTATATTTGAAGATAATTTTTGTCTATGGGCTGATGATTTACTTGATTTTATCAAACTGTACTTTAGAGTACATGTAAAATAAAAAGGCAAAGAAAATTATATAATATGCATAATGTTTATACCTGTTCCTGTTGAGACTTCAAGAGTGTCTGTCCCTCCCTCAATCCCATACAGGACTTTTTCTGAGATGATTCCAATTATCTAAATCAATCACCCAAACTCATTTCTTTAATGCCAATTAATATATCTTTAAAATTTTCATATCATTTTGTGGCAACTGATGTACATTATTAGACTATTTGTAATGTTTCAAATTTGACAGCCAATCAATATTTTGTATGCTACAGGTTAAATGATAACTGTTAAATCAATTGCAAAAAAAAAAATGTTTTTTTCCCCCAACACCCCTTCTTTAGAATTTAAAACATACTCTTTTTTCTAAGGGGGAATGATGTCCTCAGGTGGAGGGCCTCCACCTGTCTTCATTGCAACTCTTTTTCTCTCCACTTCCTTCTTCTTTGTGGAAGACTGGATGTCCTGCCATTTTTTTTAACCTCTTTGGTGGTGCGTCCATTTCCACCAATAGCATTTATGCTGAATAATTCAATTAAAAATATTCAACATAGTTGAAATTATAAATGAACAACATACCTACATATCACAAATGAATACCCATTATAAGAAATATAGGGCCTAGACATCGATGATGTTTATACCTCTACCCTACCCCACCACCCCGTTTTTCCACAACTCTGCAAATGTAAGTTTAATTGAAACTTAATGTTATGAATATGAGAATAATGATTCGGGTATTAAAGGTTTTATTAGATATATTTGCATGTTAATTACAAATCTACTATTGTTGCATACTTTTATAGAATGATTTGTAAACAAAATTTGCAAACCTTGTAGCGATGGCCTCCCATGCCCCAGCCTTATCTGCTGAGGTGAGTGCCTATCTGCTGAGGTGAGTGCTGGAGAAAATCTCCCTCTCAAAACATCTTTCCTCTCGGATACAAGATCCACGAGGAGAGATATTTCTCCGGCACTCCAATTCCTTTTCCTAGTACTGTCGCTCATGTTGCGCAATCGTCTGCTACTTTCACTTTTCCCGCACAGCGTACTGCGCATGAGCAGTTGTCGGTAGCCAAGAAAGGAAAAATCTTACGATCGATTTTCACTTACGACAATGTGTCGATCTTACGACCACTTTCATGAATAGCTCGTAACTTAAATCTTAGGATTATCGTAAGTTTAAGTCGTAGTCGTAAACTTACGATTTTTTGTGAATAGATCTCCTGTACTTTAACAGACAAAATGCTACTTTGGCCAACTTTGGATGTTAATTTTCAAGTTGTAAATAAATTTTAGGTTCAAAATACAAACTTGAAAAATTTTAGACATATACGTTAGTTAACAACTAATGAACACTGATTTTTAAAAAGTGACTTTTGTTCTCTCCTATAGGTCAATTCTTTTCAAATAGTGAATACATCCTTTCTATTTTTTCAACCATGGCAACACCGTTCATCCAAATAAAAAAAAAACGATATGCAGAAATATGTGTCTTAGTGGAATCTACTAGTGTGTGAAGTCATATTGAAATCAGACCAAAACTGTAGAATGATGGACAAGAGGGATGGATATGAATGCCATACCTAATAGCGATACATGCCGTTTTAAGATGGGCATATAAAAATACCATGGAATTAGAACTCTTTAGTGTACAGTGTATATATAGTCCTCAATTAACAAAAAAAATTAAAAAAAAACCTGTCTTAATTTACAACATCATTTATTCAGGATATCATGTTATGAAGATATAAAACAACATGATAGGTGACATAACAATACTTATACACCTGAAGTGCATTCCTGAACTTGAAAGATGAAAATTGGATGAATAACGAATAAATTCTCTATGAAGGTAGTTTTCTTCAGTTTTGCGTTGTTTGGTGCACTAGCGTAGACAAAATTTTAAAATGCATAAAAACTATCATAATTTAATTAATCGAATAGATTACTTATTTCATACATGAAATAACTTCAAATACTTCAATGACATAAAGTCCAACTGGTAGACAATCCAGTCTTTTGAATGAGGGAATTCATATACAGTTATGGTAGTAAATAAAAATATAAAATAATCAATGATAAATATATCAATAAGAAACAATAAACATAATCCTTTATACCACTGGAATTATAATACAAATTCAAAGTGAACACCTTACTTGTTTTAACTCCAAGTCATAAAGTACAACAGGCAGAGCTAAAGTTGCAAGAAATTAGAATGTAGATTTAATCAATAAACTAAGTACAGAATAGGTACTGAATTGCACAATATGACTAGCTACTTAATGTACACAAGATGTACATAAAAGAAGATTTCAAAAAAGTGGAAACTGCTCATTAACATCTTTTGAACACAAATGTTTTTACCAGTTCAATAATACAAAACCAAAGGATAACAGAATATACCAAATTACTATTCTTTCTCACTTTGAAGTCATCATCGTAACAAATTCTGCAATGAATAAAAGAAGAACATTTGACTATCCCTCAACAATTTGCTCAAGTAAAAAGCTGTCTTTTGAGTAATTCAGAAATTAATGCTTACTATTTAGTATTTACTGTGCTTTATTTGACATTGAGGCAAGATGCATAACTGCACCGAGACATAGCACCTTAACTAATAACAATATCAACAGTTAGGAAGGTACACATAAATAACTAGCACTAAGTAATGTTCTTTGATCCTCAGAGCAACACAATAATAAGAGTGAAATAATGGTAGAATGTCTTTAACCGTAAAGCCTAGCTATACAAGCAGTTGCCATTCTTCTAACACCTGACATGCCATATAGCTGCAGTGACATTCATTCTGATCTATAGGTCCAACAAACTAGGCACACTATGGATGGTAGTTATCTACTTTGATGTCATCATAGCCACAAATTCTGAAATAAAAACACACCACAAAACTCAGCATCATGCATTTACATGGGATCATTATTAATAAATTATTCATCTCAAAGTCATCATGGTTTGAGACTTTCAAGATGTTCTGACGTACATAAATGGAACACAGTATATCAGTTCTCAACCAGGAACATTCTCAGGCAGACTAAAAGATGTCCCCAAATAGGCCATGAGCCTGGGGGCCACCTAGCCACCCAGAAGCTCTTGGGTATACATTGCAAAACACTGCATTCTGGGCATTTTCTGTCATTTTTCACTTTGAAATTTTTTTAGGGGGAAAATTATTACAAATGTTATTAAAATTGTTACCTACTCTTATCAACATCCTTTACATTTTTGTTATTAATTCACATGGTTGTCTGCAAGACCCAGAGGGTCGGGGAATTTCTCCACCTATAATGACGTAAAGCCTCGGATATTCTGCTATTTTCCCTTAACCCCGTTAAGGGAGGAACCCCAAACCCGTCTACTCTTTTAAAGTCCCTTGCTATTTCAATTCTTAGGGACAACCCTGAAAAAAATCAGATTTTACTGGCCCCCTTCAAAATTTACAGGGAATACACTGTGAACTGGTGCATTTCTGTACACATGTACACTAGACAGATTTGATATTTATTGCTACTTTCAATCTAAAAAGAATCATGGCTTAATTGACCCTTTTTGGTACAGGGTCCCGTACCCTTTCAATTGGTGAAAATTGGTGAAACTGAATTTAAAATTAAGTTTTACTGTTGAATAAACAGATACTTTGAAGGCTTATTCCCTATTTACATCTTGATGAATCATTAAAATTTCAAAATTCAAGTTTTTCTTAAAATAAAAAGCACTGAAAAATTCAATCTGCATGTCATTTGGAGTTAGGTATTTTTGTCTAAATTTTTGGGGAAGAGTAAATTTTCAATTGGGACAGGGTCCTTTACAGGACCTGGATGTAAAGGTTATTAATTATTATTAAGCCCTGAGGGTCTTAAGGAAACCTTTGATAAACCTCAACAATCTGTATTTTCCCAGAAACAAAACAAAACAAAAAACAAAAAAGAAAAGAAAAACATAGGTAATCAAAGATTACGAAGCTCACCTCGACGAAGGTTATCTATAAGTAAGGCAAATCTCACATCATATTTTTTCTAGTTAGTGTACATCCCAAGATCAATATCTATACAAGTTTGGTTTAAGAAGGACTTATAATTACTTGGAAATAGACCTGCTCAAAAAACTTTAACCTGGTCACTCATCTGGAAAATCTAGGTCAGATTCAGCATCCGAAGCAAGTGTGTAGTGTTCATCCCTAGATGCATCATCCATGCAAGTTTGGTCCAGGTAGGGCGTATAGTTACTTGGGAATGGACCTGCTCCAAAAACTTTAACCTGGTCACTCATCTGGAAAATCTAGGTCAGATCCAGCATCCGAAGCAAGTGTGGTAGTGTCCATCCCTATATGCATCATCGATGCAAGTTTGGTTCAGGTAGGGCTTATAGTTACTTGGGAAAGGATCTGCTCCAAAAACTTTAACCTGGTCACTCATCTGGAAAATCTAGGTCAGATTCAGCATCCGAAGCAAGTGTGGTAGTGTCCATCCCTAGATGCATCATCCATGCAAGTTTGGTTCAGGTAGGGCGTATAGTTACTTGGGAATGGACCTGCTCCAAAAACTTTAACCTGGTCACTCATCTGGAAAATCTAGGTTAGATTCAGCATCTGAAGCAAGTGTGGTAGTGTCCATCCCTAGATGCATCATCCATGCAAGTTTGGTCCAGGTAGGGCGTATAGTTACTTGGGAATGGACCTGCTCCAAAAACTTTAACCTGGTCACTCATCTGGAAAAATCTAGGTCAGATCCAGCATCCGAAGCAAGTGTGGTAGTGTCCATCCCTATATGCATCATTCATGCAAGTTTGGTTCAGGTAGGGCGTATAGTTACTTGGGAATGGATCTGCTCCAAAAACTTTAACCTGGTCACTCTTCTGGAAAATCTAGGTCAGATTCAGCATCCGAAGCAAGTGTGGTAGTGTCCATCCCTAGATGCATCATCCATGCAAATTTGGTTCAGGTAGGGCGTATAGTTACTTGGGAATGGACCTGCTCCAAAAACTTTAACCTGGTCACTCATCTGGAAAATCTAGATTAGATTCAGCATCCGAAGCAAGTGTGATAGTGTCCATCCCTAGATGCATCATCCATGCAAGTTTGGTCCAGGTAGGGCGTATAGTTACTTGGGAATGGATCTGCTCCAAAAACTTTAACCTGGTCACTCATCTGGAAAATCTAGGTCAGATTCAGCATCCGAAGCAAGTGTGTAGTGTTCATCCCTAGATGCATCATCCATGCAAGTTTGGTCCAGGTAGGGCTTATAGTTACTTGGGAATGGACCTGCTCCAAAAACTTTAACCTGGTCACTCATCTTGAAAATCTAGGTCAGATCCAGCATCCGAAGCAAGTGTGGTAGTGTCCATCCCTAGATGCATCATCCATGCAAGTTTGGTCCAGGTAGGGCTTATAGTTACTTGGGAATGGATCTGCTCCAAAAACTTTAACCTGGTCACTCATCTGGAAAATCTAGGTCAGATCCAGCATCCGAAGCAAGTGTGGTAGTGTCCATCCCTAGATGCATCATCCATACAAGTTTGGTTCAGGTGGGGCGTATAGTTACTTGGGAATGGACCTGCTCCAAAAACTTTAACCTGGTCACTCATCTGGAAAATCTAGGTCAGATCCAGCATCCGAAGCAAGTGTGGCAGTGTCCATTCTAGATGCATCATCCATGCAAGTTTGGTCCAGGTAGGGCTTATAGTAACTTGGGAATGGGACTTGCTCCTAAAACTTTAACCGGGACGCCGACGCCAACGCCGACGCCAACGCCGGGGGTATAGCATAAGCTCATCTCGACTCTGCGAGGTGAGCTAAAAAAGGATTTTTAAGTTCTGGAAAAAAAAAAATGATCGTGTAGGGGCAATATTAAGGGATCAGGCAGAATACATCAAACAAATCAATTTTAGTGTTGGCATAAGATGAACAATTTTAGTGTTGGTGTAAAAAGTATACTGATAAATTTTGATTATTACAAAAGTGAATCAAAAAATTTTAAACTGTATTTTTTCTTTTTCCTAAATTAGGATTTATTTCTCCCATCACTCATGCCAAAGTTTTGTTTTTTTTTTGTTTTTTTTTTTTTAAAAATTCACTTTAATAAAGCCCCCTGTAGTGTGGTTTTTTTTTTTTTTTTTTTTTTGCCCTTGTGACTTTTATAACAATTAGAACTATGAAATGTTTCATCTTTTTATCGCTTGAGAGGGGAAATCCCATTCTTGAAAGATTAAATGGACTGTTTTCTTTTTTGCACTTTTATTCTCTGTCCCAGAGCAAAACAATATACACAGCAGTATGAGCACCCAATCCCAAAAGAAAGCATCACACATTCTGTTCTTAAGGAACTTTATCATCACTCCAGAATATCATTTACAAGGTATCATGCAAGTAAGCAACATGCCAATAGATACATCAGTCTATCATTATATTTTCTAATATATGCACAATACATAATGATCTGAACCATAATGACTTTTTCCTAGTAACATCAGCACTACATTACCTCAATGAAAAATCTAAACAAGATGACAATTTTCATCACCAATAAACAGCTTATTTCCGTGATACTTGTGAGGTACAAGTTTTTTTTTTTGGTATACACTTGTATCAATCCTACTTTTTCAAGTAGCTAAAATGGTCTTTATGGTTCAGAACAACAATAAGATCTAATCCTGTCATTTTTAACAACATACCTTCATAATTAACTTGACCATCGCCGTCTATGTCTGCTTCTCGGATCATTTCATCCACCTCTTCATCTGTGAGCTTCTCTCCTAAGTTTGTCATTACATGCCTCAACTCAGCTGCACTGATAAACCCATTGCCATCTTTGTCAAATACTCGGAATGCTTCTCGAATTTCTTCCTCACTGTCTGTATCTTTCATCTTTCTTGCCATCATTGTCAAAAACTCAGGGAAGTCTATTGTTCCATTTCCTATTTAGGACAGGGTAAGATCTGTATATAACCATCAGATTTCAAGAGAGAGAGAGAAAAAAGAGGCCCATGGGCCGCAACTCTCACCTGATTAGCAGTTTTTCTTCAGATTTCCAAAAAGATTTTTACGTTCACATGAAAAATTTCAACTCCATATTGTACCTCCCTCTAAATCTAAGGGTCTCTGAATCCACACAACACTGGGATGCTTCAATATCAATATGATTAACTTGGCACTTGCAGTTATTAATAAGTACAGCCCAATATTTTCTGTGCACTTTGGGGATGTATTTCACCACTTTCCAGCATTGGTTCATCAACTACCTTTCACTCCCTAATTCTAGACATATTCTATAACCAATATTATATGTATATTTTATCCATCTCCTAACCCTTTCGTCATCTCTACAGACCAATAAACTTGCTTGTTGTGAATTTTTTGCCATCCGACAATAAATATAAGGAATAAATGTCGGGGGGGGGGGGGTTGGGGGGTTATGATAATAAAGCAGTTTACTTTGGTATTTATGCAAATTATCATGGGAGCAAACTGCTTGATCATAAAACGAAACTAGAGATACTGCGAGCAGTGAGCTCATAAAATGATACCCTTCACTCTTATATGAGTGTAATGGCAAAATTAGGGCTGTCATGGTTACCCGAAATAATCGAGAACCGTGGTCCAAGTTGTTCAGTTCGGTTTCGGTTTTCCATTTTTCCAGATTTCGGTTCGGGTCTGGTTTATATATTAGCATCTGTTCAATAAAAAAAATGGCGTCGAAATCAAAGGAATGATGACTATAACAGTGATAAATAAACATCACAACTGAAATCTACTTCATTCCATGACAAAACAGTTGTCACAGAAGTATTAGATAATTATCAAAATGACCAGGAATGGTCAGGTTGTGGCTAATAGACCAAGTAGTTCTACACACCAATGTCTAGACGTTCGCATGGTTAAGACTTGTTTTCAATGTAAATTTAATGTAACAAATAAAGATTTTTCAAGTTAAATTCATGAAATTAAGGTTTAAAATAGATGTAAATAACCGAATCGAAAAACCTGAAACTGAACGGAAAATTTACAGAACCGACCCGACCCGAAAAATTTTGGAACCGTGACAGCCCTAGGCAAAATCATTTTTTATCAATGGAAAGCCCAAATATCTGATCAAAACATGAAGAAGGTGGTGCACAATGGCATTGTGTAATAAAGATTTTGTGGAAATATTAAATTTTATTTCGTGGCAAAAAAGGAATTGTGGATAAGAGATGGGGAACCCGAGCATTATACAAAGAATGTCCGTTTTGCTATCGGAAAACTGAAATATATGTATGATCAAAAAGTCGCACTGTGGACAATGAAGTTTTTTTCTCTGAGATTATAATAAAAGATTTTTTTACCAAGTGAACAAAAAAATTGAGGACCCCAAAATATCAATGTGGACTAGCAAAACTTGTTAAGTTGGAGCCCACATGGCCCCTAAGGTTTAAAATGTTATTTGCAACCCTGGCAAGATCATAATTACATCTAATAAAATGGAACAAACCAAGAAATTTTTACCATTTTAACCACAACATGCTACAATAGAATGGCACCTTTGTATTTTACACATTTTTATAGTTCACCAGAATTTCCTCTGTCGTACGGTTATAGACATTTGTAAACGCATTGACTTTAATGAAAAGGGTCCCTTGGAATCATTATAAAACTTTTCAAAATGAATCGCTGCTAATGCAAATGTTAGAGAACAGGAAAAAATTACCATCAGCATCTACTTCGTTGATCATGTCTTGAAGTTCTGCCTCTGTAGGATTCTGACCCAGTGACCTCATCACGGTGCCAAGTTCTTTCGTTGTAATGGTTCCGTCTCCATCTTTATCAAAAAGACTGAAAGCCTCTTTGAATTCTACAAGTAAACATGAAGAAATTAAAGAAATGATCAAATAATCTAGTTTAACAATGCAATTCTTTCATTGATTCTACCAGTTTTCTTATTTTGTGGACTAACCCATTTACATACCTGCAATTTGTTCTTCTGTTAGTTGATCTGCCTGGAAAATATAATATTGCAATGTGAAATAACCATGAAATTAATTTAAAAAATGATAATAAGAAAAAAAACTTAAATTTGTAATATTATTTCTGGTAATATGTTATGTTTATAAGACTTTTAAATTTTTTCTGAGATTCTTCTAGAGGATTTAGCTTAAGGACCTTCTATACACTAGAGGAAAATTTTTTTGAACATCAAGAAAATTATAGTGTGTAAAGGTGTAAATATTGAGCTTATCTACCACATTTTCAACAGAGGGTACATTGCATTTACCCCCAGGAAAAATGTTCAAAGACAATGAAGTACTGATGAACAGAAATCACTGTTGTTTACTTAAGTGGACAAAATACCAAATGAAGTGCTCAATCTATTCATCTTAGCATATTAAAAAGCTATGGATGCTTGCTTTGATTACAAATTAAGTAATAAAATGTACATTTCAATTGATTTTATTTTTGATCAAAGGGCAGATAACTCTATCTGCATAAAAAGAACTCTTTAGTGTGCAGTGTATAGAGGGTTCTTAATTTACATCTAAAAAAAATGCCAAATTATCTATTAAAAAAAAAATCTTTTTTCATCCAATTTACATGGGTTTATAGCATACTTACAACACCTAAAACTTTAGTCAGACATCTTTAGTGTGGAATGAGAATCAACTATATATATATATATATATATTCCAGTAATTCAAGTTGATATGGTAAACAGTGTGCACCAAAAGGACTACCCAAATTCCTGAACACCAGTACTAATTACAAAGAGCTAGGTTCACTTTATGCATAAAATGGCCCTGTCCTTATACTCAATTAATTGACTATCACCCTCTGTCGCATTTCATATATCAAAATAAAGTAGAGACTTAGTGTTTTCATTTCCTATAACAGAATTTCTTTTTTAGAATCAAGGTATTGGAAAATAGGCTTTGAGAAAATGCGATGTTCTTAAATTTTGCAGAAAACATGCGCATTTGACTACCTTCAGCAAAGAATTAAAATATGAGCACAGCCCACGATCCAAATATTAAAACATGTTTTGTGATCTTCAGAAACCTATCTTTTATTATGTAATTGCATATTTTGGATCAGAGGTTGTGCTCTTTATGAAATATTGAAAAAATACCTCAACTTCTGGCCATTTTTAAGGGAACTTACAGGATATGAGGAAAATGACGCATTTTATGACATCATGATGCATTGACTAGAGAGAAAGTTATGTCATGTTCAATAAAAACACGGCCACTAAGAGTCCAAGTTATAAATACTGCATTTTCAATCAAAACTGAGCAGTTTCAATTTTTCAGAAATTCTCAGGGCCAAAAAAGACCCTTAGTGGATGTTGCTCTTTGATCAGACTGAGAAAATGTGTGTCCGAACTACCCCAAGTAATCTAGTGAAAATTTAATGCATTTTAATTGATCTCTTCACAAAATCATTGAATATCAATTCCTCCCCCTCCTCTCTCTCTCTCTTTCTGCATGTGTTTGGATTTTTTTCTTGAACTTTTGCAGAACTATTTATTTTGACCACTGCTGGAGTTTTATAATTCTTTAACATTGGAGGTAAAATAAGCTATCAAAACAAGGTTCTGGTTTATAATATTCACTTATACTTGCATGTTCAATTAAAGAACTAATAATAAAAAGAGCACTCTTTGACAGTGAAAAGTGGTTCAACAAAAATATATAGTATAACGGAGAACAGACAATGTTCAACACATTCACGAATAAAAGATTATTGCTTTATTATTCTTAGTTAAAGATGAACACGACTCATAAATAGACACACACCATATTAGTTTCCCCATCGTCTGTATCAGGACTGCGGTATATAAACCCTTCACATTTGTTACACCTGCTTTTTACCTGGTCACTGCTGCGTGTAGTATTGTGTATACCTTACATTATCTTTCTGTTTACATTTTATTTCATTGAATTTGCATTTGTGTTTCACTCATTTGTAATGCACTGACCAGTGCAATTGATTTTGAATATATCTTTGGTAACTATTTGTCCTGAAGTGGCAGAGACGTACAGAAGTCATTTTTGTCACACCCCATTGCTCCAAGTTGTGACTAAAATGGTCGTCTTTGCGACCAAAAAATTGATTTTGTGACTAGAAATTCAAACCAACTCGCATTTTCGCAACTGAAAAAATTTGGGCCGGTGACGTCCATTTTTAAGATTGCGATTGAGATTTACGTTTATCAAGAATCTCTATCAAGAAAATGTTTGAAGACATATACTTTTATGAACTTTATAAAGCTCTTGGACTTGCCTTGGATCACGTAATGTTATGACAGCGTGTTGTAATAGTGACTTCTTATACAAAGTTTGACACATATACGTCCCTGATAGAATCAATGGCATCTAAACGTCGTTAACTTTCTAGAACCTAACCTTGTTATTGAAACTTTGGTCAATTGCTTGCATACCACAACTAATTAAGAGTGTTTTGGTGGCATTAATAACAACTGTTTAATGGGCTAGGTATATAGTAATAAGGAATCATGAGAAACAGCTGGCAAAGTCCTGTCTCAATAGATGATTTTAATTCTAGGATCAGAATACTTGACATGTTCTTCTGTGTACTGTACTACCATAAGGTGGTTGTAAAATATTTCCTTCAACCTAGCAAATTGTTTCTAGTCACAGTAATAAGTAATCCTTGATATATTAAGGACATGCGCAACATACCTTACCTACTGATAATTTTTCAAGATATTCTTAATTTAAGATTATAGTGCCTTCAGAAGTTCGTAGATGAAAAATCAGTATGCATTACCAGGGGTTTTGAAAAGATATCAACTGATGAAAATTCTTGTATAATTCAAAGAAAAATATACAAAAATTACTAAACATATATTCTAGATGTTCTATGTATCCAAACTTGTTTTAGAAGAAGTGTACAACAGCATATATAGACATTAAAATGTAACACACAGATCCTTTAAGTATTGGAACTCTTCAACTCCATTGAAAAAGAAAATAAAGTTCAAACTATGTTGCATATGTCCTTAATAAAAACATGATACTTTTATGGGTGTTTGTTCCTCGTTTTACTAGTGTTATTCACAAAATGCTTTCGTCATGGCGAGTGAAATATTTGTTGATGGCGACAAGAAATTCTGAAATGGCGACCATAAAATTTTTTAGATCACCATTCAGCAACCTGAGAGTAAGTGTGACTTGTGACTTGCACCCAAGTCTATCATAACAATGAAACAGACATCTGTTCAGGTAAACTCAGTGAAGCAAAATACACTGAACTCTGGACAAAACTGAGGCTTATATAGTGACTGGCAAATGACTGTATTGAGAAGACTAATATGGCAGACAAAGATATCTCTCTTTTTTATGAATCGTGTTCAGCTTACATCTGTAAACAATACAGGCTATTGCTGTTTTCCACTACTAGCCTGATTGGTCAGTCCTGAAAAAAGTTTTTTTTACACAAAATAAAATTTATCAGATCAGCTGGTAAAAAAACTGTTATGATTCTAGGATCAGGGTTCGACACTAACTTTTTAGGCTTGAGCCGGCCGGACTAGTGCTTCTTTACTTTTACTAGTCTGCATGCAATTTAATGAGTCCGAGGAAACATCAATGTTTTGTAACATTAATTTAAAATAAACATTTCAATATACGTTCTTTATACTTTTATTAAATAAACAAAGCATTTACGTGAAAGGGTTTATTCCACAGCACAGATTCGTTGAAATCTCGTGATCAACGAGTACGATCGTATTCCCCGATATCCTTCTTCTTATCTTACATTACATCCAAAATGTCTGACATCTTTCTTTTAGTTGTGATATAAATTATGATCGCTAAAACGTTTTACTTCATATCAATCAGTCGAAAAATTAAGCGCTGACTCGAAATTGTCTAACTACCCGCCAAGAAGCTAGAAAGCTAAAAATAAATGCGGGGTTTTCCAGTAAAAGTTGTGGAGAATCAGACATTGGTAAATTATTCATATCGTTTTCCAGGAATTTTTATTGGTCCGTTCGGACTAATAAGCCACAGATTTTATTAGTCCGAATAAAAATGTATTAGTCTGAGACTAACAGACTAACATTAGTGTCGAACCCTGAGGATGGATAGCTTGTAAATGTAGATCATGGTATTTTGTTAACCACCTATTTAATCTTTTATGAACTTCACAACAATCTGAGCACAATTTAAAAGTTCTGGTTTTACCTAACTGTTGGCTGACAAAAATTCTGAATACACATTTTACAAATCTGTATACTGCATATGTTAGCCCCTGTGCATATACTAACTGATTTTTAATGTTTATGACATTTAATTTCAAGAGAAGGCTATGATCCATCTTGTGTCATGCTTTGAATATGAACATTAACAACGGATGCATGAATAAAAGTATCAGCAAATAACAATTTTGTTTGTTAGTACATTCATAATCACAATCAACAGGTATTCTTTCCAACTTTTATAGATAATATCTATTCTCCAACGTCTATTAATCCAGGAAGTCACCTGGCTTTACTACAGCAATATTTGTCTGGTGTGCTTGAAACTCAATGAAAATCTTTGTAACCTGAGCCTTACAATAAAATTTCAGAATTTGCAAACTGTTGAAAAATTGTCAAATGAATAACCGTTACAAAATAGTTATTTCCAAGGATCTCTGATCTCTAGTCTTAGATATCAAGTACCGACAATCTCATATCATATGTACATAACGTTAAAAATACGTGTACTGCAATATACATGATGTCTACGTCTTTAATGCACATTATGTTTTCTTCTTCATTTAATATATTATTTATATTCATGAAACAGTATCTCTGCTCAGAACATTGTCAATATTTGTCATCATGTAAACATTTCGCCGGTTAAGACTCGTATGGGCTGCATTAATCCAAAAATAATCAACATTCTTCAACATAAAGATCTCTTTGGTCATTTCTTTTCCTATCAGGTGGTTCGATGGTTAAAAGTAACTACTTACCATAGTGGATAGAAATGAAATTTAAGCGGCAACCCGACAATCGTCGTGCAGATGATGATCTAAGTCGATGGTGTATTCCTACACGCGAATGAATTTCTTCCTGTTGTGAGGATAACAGCAAAAATATTTTTTTCCAAATAAAAATTTAAGAAATAAAGAAACAAAATATAAATGCCTCCTTATGTTTCTTCCAAATTAAGCTCGAAGGTCGTAGTGAATTTGAGGAACTATTTTCACTTACTAACATCAAAGTCGCGGGAAGGAAATTAACCGGTATCTTCGATTTCTGTGTAACGCACGTTTTCATTGGCCAACTCTCACCTGCAATGCGACAACGCGCACTGCGGCAGATGTAAACACAATCCATACTGTACGTATGTCGCAGGAGTAAAAACGTCATGAATTTGATGAAATCAATTAACTTCGGTATATTTGATATGTGCAAAATAACACACACAGTCACCCGAGACATTATTATATGTCTTTTTTATGTAGATTAATTCAGGTCTTTAGGGCCCCTAAATATTATATTGCGAAGTCGTCAGACTCGTACAAGTCTGCTCTAAAGTATATTCTAGGATCTCCTATGTGAGCTGTATTGCAAGAAGTTCAAGTGTTGTAAAAAAATTCAAACTTTTGTAGATTAAGTATGTTAATCTCAATAAATTTCAAACATTTACTCAAGAGAGAGAGAGAAAGTTGGGGGAGGGGGTAAACAAGTGTCAGAAGCAAATTGAAAGTGGGGGGGGGGGGCTAAACCAACAGAAAAGGTAAGCCCCATTTTCAATGCCTATAACATTTCTATCTTTGCAAAAAGTGGGGGCCTAAGCCCCCCCCCCCGATTCCGACGCCCATGGGGGTATATTGTTTATACTAAGAAAATCATGAAATATTAATCCATTTTGAGGATAACTTACGAACGTCACTTTGCACAAATTCGGTGATATCCAGTGGATATCAAGAGCGTAGCGGCTACGTAGCATCTAGGTGAAAAGCTACGCTCTTGAACGGAGAGCTTGCCTAGCCGCTAGATCTACGTAGGGAGAGCTGGCATAAATATTTATGCTAAGTACCAAATCCAAGGTGGCCTCCTTAGTAACAACTTTGCAATGCACACGATTTTAACAAAAAGGGACATATTGTTTAATGAATTAATTAAATGTAAATTTACATATATAAATTTTGTATATTGAAATAAACTCTGGTCCAAAAATAAGTTTTTCATAACATATTTTTATTCGAAATTTAACACTTAGCGACTAGATTAGCTGTCCGTTCAATAGTATACAGTTAAAATATATCATTGAGGGAGTTAGCAAGATTCCAGTTCCCCAAGGCCAGGACTATTTCCCGAGGCGAAGCCGAGGGAAATAGTCCTGGTCGAGGGGAACTGGAATCTTGCTAACTCCCTCAATGACATACTTTTAACTGTTTTATTATACCCATGGGCGGATACAGGATTTGTGATTAGGGGGGGGGGGCGTGGATAACTTCGTTCAGGCAGGGGGTCTGGGGGCCGCCTTAAGGCCCCCAGGGGACCAGGGGGCGAAGCCCCCGGAAGCTCCTGCGTTTTCGTGAATTTTAAGAGTAAAACCAGACACAAAAATAGTGGTATTGATTAGCTATGTACACTACGATATTTCACTTTTTAAAAAAAAAAATACATACACAAACAAACCAAAAAACAACGAACAAACAAGATCAGATTTTAAAAATAGCATTTTACCTAGATATACCAGAAGTTACAAAAATCTGAATGTTTTTCAAAGTACCGCTAGGTGTAATTTCGACCGATTATTTTTTTTATATTTAGATTTGTTCAAGTATGTCACTGCCTATTACAAGTATTATGCTCAACTTTTACTGGATCCATTTTCCTTCGGAATACCTTTTATTGTTCAGATTAAATTGTATTATATGTATTATTCGTCATGATATAAAATAAATGTGTTCGATTTACAAGATATGCGTGTTGGGTAACTTCGACCGCACAGGGGGTATTTTCGATCGATGTGCAAATATAAACGAAATTATTCGCGTCACTTCTAATTTAAATATATATATATATATATTAATTTAAATTATTCTGTTGTAAAACATAAAAGATTGTGAAAAAATGCTGACAAAAAAGAAGTAATTTTCAAAATGTACCTAATTTGAAGACATGAAGTGCACCAGGTGCCTAGAGACTGATTTACCGATTTGTCAAGGCATGCTACAAATGACATGTACATATATGCGCAGGCATCTAAACCGCATGTAAACAGAACAGATGATTTTTTCACTGTTATAGAACTAGTTTCTACGGAGTATTCTTATACATAATACTTATCTTAATAATTTCTTTATACGGACGGTGGTCATGATTTTTTTCTGGTAACAAAAAGTATTGCGTCTTTTTCATTGGTCGAACTGAGATACACAACTGTACCCGCTGACGCCGTATTCATGCATGGGTAACTTCGGCAGATTTCTGTTCAGCTGATTTGCATTTTATTTGTAAAAAATAAATACTATAAATTAACAAGAGGCCCAAGGGCCTTAACGGTCACCTGAGTATGATAAAACAATTTCAAGGATGCATAGAGTATAAAATGAATTGAAAGGTGAAGCTTTGTTGCCCAAAAGCAAGAAAAATAGGGTGATCATGATCAACAAAATAATTGGTCTTAATATTCATTAACAGTTCATAAATTAGGTTCTAATCTGTTCCCCATTTATCACTATCACTATACAGTATATTAACAAATTATCAATGCTTCTGTACTATTTTAATCCTTTGTTGAAATCTCTTACATTACCATCTCTTGGTCTTTGATGAATATTTAAGAAGACAAGTTATTTTTGTCTCATTTTTATTTATCTACTACTTACAAGTCTATCTGATCATTAAAACTATGAAAGTACTTTTTGTATTATACAATAAAAGTTTTTGCATAATTCTCTATTTACCTTTCAAGTACATTATTTACAGTGATAAATTATCAAAAGTAAATGGCAAAGGGGAATAACTCCTCTCAGTAGAATACAAACTAATAGAGCCCTGGCGAGGACCAGAACACTTGACCAAATGGTCCAGATGTTCAAAAATCTGGTGAAAATTCCCTTCCTTATAAAAACTTTTACTCTGTTTGCCTCAGATATGCCCAGGTGCGGAGAAGATTTTTAAATAAATAATGCATTTTTACTACAGATTCACTATATTATCAATAGAGCCCCCCCCCCCCACCCCCAAAACACCAGAGCTTCTGACCCTGGGACCATATGTTTGCTCATCATCACTTTGTTTATCTGCTTAACACTAAGGAGCAAACAGGATTATTTAATAGAATTAATGCATTTTCACTAAATTATCAAGAGCCCCACCCTCACACCAGCACATCTGACCCAGGGGTCATGAAATTCACTACTCTGGAAGAAGCACACTTGCTCATCATATCTATACACTTAGCTTCTTTGCTTTTTTAACCAGAAGAAGAAAAGAATATTTTCAAAGAAATTTTGCTTTTCCACTTTATAATCAATAGAAGCCCCCCTCCCCCCCCCCTCACCAGAACCCTTAAACCTGGGGTCATAAAATTCACAATTTTGGAAGAGGCATCCTTGTGTATCATAACAATGTACTTCAGCCTGTTTAAGCAATACCCAGGGGCAGAGAAGAAGATTTTCAAAGAAATAATTCACCTTCACTATAGGATCTATATAGCCCCGCCCTAGCACCAGAACTCCTGTCCCCGGGGCCATGAATTTCACAATTTTGGAAGAGGCATCCTTGCTTATCATAACAATGTACTTAGTTTGTTTAAATAATACCCAGGTGCAGAGAAAAAGATTTTTAAAGAATTAAAACATTTTCACTTTATAATCAATAGAGCCCCGCCCTAACACCAGAACCCCTGATCCAGGGGCCACGAATTTCACAATTTTGAAAGAGGCATCCTTGATTATCATAACTATGTATTTAATGTGTTTCAATAATACCCAGGAGTAGAGAAGAAGATTTTCAAAGGATTAATGCATTTTCACGATATAATCAATAGAGCCCCACCCTAACACCAGAACCCCTGACCCAGGGGCCATGAAATTCACAATTTTGAAAGAGGCACTCTTGCTCATCATAACTATGTACTTAGTTACTGAATCTAATACCCAGGAGCAGAGAAGAAGATTTTCAAAGGATTAATGCATTTACACTATATAATCAATAGAGCCCCGCCCTAACACCAGAACCCCTGCCCCTGGGGCCATGAATTTCACAATTTTGAAAGAGGCACTCTTACTCATTATAACTATATACTTAGTAAGTTTATTTAATACCCAGGAGCAGAGAAGAAGATTTTAAATGAATTAATGCATTTTCACTATATAATCAATAGAGCCCCACCCTAACACCAGAACCCCTGCCCCTGGGGCCATGAATTTCACAATTTTGGTAGAGGTACTCTTACTCATTATAACTATATACTTAGTTAGTTTATTGAATACCCAGGAGCAGAGAAGAAGATTTTAAATGAATTAATGCATTTTCACTATATAATCAATAGAGCCCCACCCTAACACCAGAACCCCTGCCCCTGGGGCCATGAATTTCACAATTTTGGAAGAGTCACTCTTACTCATCATAACTATATACTTAGTTAGTTTATTGAATACCCAGGGGCAGAGAAGAAGATTTTCAAAGAAATAATGCACTTTCACTATATGATCTATATAGCCCCGCCCTAGCACCAGAACCCCTGACCCTGGGGCCATGAATTTCACAATTTTGGTAGAGGACTCAATGCTTATCACAATGATGCCAACAGTTTGACTGCTTGATGTCCAGGAGTAAAGAAGAAGATTTTTAAAGATTGCATTAATTTTGGTGGTTTTAGCTCCACCCCTCAGGCCCCAGGGGGGCAGGGACCATGAAAGTCACAATTTTTGTTCCCCTTCACCCATAGATGCTATATGCCAAATTTAGTTGAAATTGGTTGAGCGGTTTCAGAGAAGAAGCTAAAAATGTTCAAATGTTAACGCACATCGCACGACGCACGACGCACGCCGACGGACAAAAACGGATAGCAATAGGTCACCTGAGTGACTCAGGTGACCTAAAAAGGTATGAATTTAAGTTGCAAAATTAAACATAGTTGATCAATTTCACGCCAGGAATATCCACCGTGTCTTTCTATATATACAAGATATTTTCAGAGGTGATAAACTGATAATTCCCCGCAATGGTTTAAAAATACTCGTCCGTAATTTTTC